AAAACATAAGGAACTGTATTAAAGGGCCATAGCATTAAGAAGGTTTGAGAACTACTATTTTTTTTTTGAGAACTACTATTTTATATAAATCTCTTCAGAATGTATAGCAAATGGTCACCATAATCCTCAGGACATATTTTCCCCCCTCTCTTAAGATATCCTTCAGTTACCTTTATGTTCTTAAATTAATTCAATTAACTGCACACAGCTAAAAGCTTGAAGTAAATTCATAAGAAGACTAAGCTACACGGTAACTGCCAGTTTTGTCTCCTGGTTATGGTTTGGTTTATGGTTTGGAGACAGATTCTTGTGTAGCTCAGCTGGCTAGAATTCTCCAGCCTCCTTTGCGCTAGGACTGGTGGAACATACACGTCTTGTCGTCTGTCTCCATTTCTCTGAGGAACATTTTATATTCTTAGATTTACAGGAAATCTGGCAAAGTTGAATTTCTATAATCTAATCACTGATCCTGGGAGAAGCACAGAGAGGAGCAACACTGGATGTGTGAAGCAGTATCCCCCATTCCCACTGAAAAGGCGAACATGGAAAGACAGTGTCAACCAGGTGCTCAGGTCATGCCTGTTACTCAGACATCAGGAACTCAGGAGGCAGAAACAAGGAAATCAGAACTGAGGAAAGAAAGCCTGGGCTACAAAGCAAAACTGTCTCAGAAAAAATAAAATAAAAGTGGTGGGTGGGGGGAAAACAAAAGAAAAACAAGCAAGTATTTCTTATTTTCCTTCTGATTCATACAAGTAATTTATGATGTATGACTGTATGAATAAATGTCTAAATGAATAAATGTATGAATAAAATAAATGTCTAGAAGGAACAATCAATTTAAAATATACTACAAACCTGGCTATAAGGTATGTTTATTTATTGATCAAAAATAAAGCAAAATAAAAATGCTATTCATAGGAAATAGGTGGTACTCAAAAATAAGTGTACTTATAAACTGATGCATGACTCAAAACCTATCTTCCCATCAAAATAATGTTATACAGTGGTAATCCCTCAGTCTGGCCCACAAAACCTATTTAGCAGCTAGTGAGACAAGTTTATTTATCCCACTCTACCCTCTGTGAATGAATGACACTGGTAGTCTAAAGGAAGATCCTGGTAAATGCCAGGAAAACAAGGTCCTCTCCAAGTTTTCCAGCAGAGAGGCCACCCCAAGGTCTACCATCTCTAGGGGAGCAACTTAAGTCCAAATACCCAACAATACCTGAGTCAGTGAATGAGTGAGTGAGCAGGCGAGACAGACAGACAGACAGAGAGAGACAGAGACAAGGCCCTGCCCTCACAGCTCAAGGTTTAAACACACTGAAAAGCCTTTCATCTTTGTTTGTAGGTGCACCTATAAACACAGGTCAACTCTCCCCTCTGACAAATTCTGCCTCCTTCCCTCTCCCACGAAGAGCACTCCACAAGAAACCTCTTGCCCATAAATTTCTTTCGAGAGACTATTTTCCAGTGTCTAAGACAAATAACCAACACTATAATCTCCTTGAAACTTTTCTAATATACTCTCTTTAACATATAATAACTATCTTGCTTCATATTTATAGTAGGTATTATAATCTCATTTTACATATGCAGAAGTTAAAGAGAATTTAAATAACTTGCTCAAAGAAATCTGAGGAACTGATATAAAATGGGTCCGAAAATGCAAAGCAAACACTATCTACATTTACACAGAGCTGTTAAGAGACTTAAGGTAGAATTAGTTCAAAGGTTGTGTTCAAAATGAATTGTCTGGTGAACCTTGTTCAGTCAAGAAACAGGAATTTATAAAAAGTATGTACAATTCAGGCTCACTGAAAATTGGATATACCATGATCAAGGTTTCAAATATTTTTAGAGCTGAAGAAAAAAGGCTGAGGCCTAATGGAGTCAAAATTTCAGAATGAAACCAGTTGTAATCTACTGCCTGATTACTAGATTCTAAAAATAGTGATGACAAATCTTGTCCACCTACAAACATAATAATGTTCCAGTATGTGCACACAGATGTTTACTATGTAGGAAGATGATGGCATTTCTTCACAGTAGCTTGTTTCTTCCAATCCTTGCAAAAGGTCCAAAATTAGTATCTAAAAAGTGGAATGCAATATCCTTTGCATTCTTATTCAAATGCACAACAACAACCAGTTCAATGCCTCCACTCCAACCATACTAGAGTTTCCCTAAACATCCCCTGGCTAGCAATCTTCTCTATAGAACGATGAGTTATTTATACGTAGAATGGACAGTTAAGAGCTAATATCACCCTGCTCTGGTACCTACAATGCCCTACACCTACAAGACATAAAATCACTCTATAAATTTGAAACAACTACTAGTTTTAACTGGTCATTAAGTTTACATGCAAATATAGATTAAAAACTGACTTGATCAAAACAAACCATCTAAAATTTTAAGATATGAAACCTGTTCAAGGCCAGCCTGAAAGCTGTATATAGCTAAGAGTTTGTCTCATCAAAAGACTGTAAATAGCTTGTGAGTGCTTTGAAAATTTTATAATGATGAAACCTAGTAATACAAGTAAAAACTTGAAATAGAAATACTAAAGTGGGGGGCTGGAGGGATGGCTCAGTGGTTAAGAGCATTGCCTGCTCTTCCAAAGGTTCTGAGTTCAATTCCCAGCAACCACATGGTGGCTCACAACCATCTGTAATGAGGTCTGGTGCCCTCTTCTGGCCTGCAGACATACACACAGACAAAATATTGTATACATAATAAATAAATATTTTTTTAAAAAAAGAAATACTAAAGTGGTCTAACTAATGTAATTTTAAAATTTAAAAATAGTTAAGTCTTATATATATGTGTGTGTGTGTATACACATACATGTATAGTATATATATATATATATATATATATACACATAGGGTGTATGCCCTATACCTACAGGACATAAAACCACTCTATACATTTGAAACTATTAGTTTTAACAGGTCATGTACATATATATATATATAAATTATACATTCAATTACATACATATGTATATAATTTCAAAAGCATTTACAATTTCCTTATTCATTTTTGTGTAGGCTTCAGACCCTATGTTAACACTGTCTTCAGAAGCATGGACTTCCAGTTAAGGTGAACTATTCACCAAGGCATCACCCATGTCAGAACCAACAATGTGTGCCATAAAACTCAACTCACTGCTCTTCATCCGCAGCTTCTGAGATTCTGGTTATGGAAATGTGGGAGCCCGTTTCGTCCTTTTTCCATCTAATAGAATAAAGTCCTAGTCAGAAACACACAGCTTTACACAGGTATGGACAGCAATGCTAAATCTACCAGTGTGCTCCTTCAAATGAATACCGGGCATCCTAACTGGCTTAATGTTTTCAAGGAGGCACCACCTGCCAAAGGAAAACTTCCTCAAGCACTTTAAAACACTCAAATCTTTCAGAGTGTGGCAAACTAGTACAGGAAGGAAGGCTTCACGAGAATCAAAGATGTCCTAACTTGTAATCACCCTCATCGTCCCCATTTAATATGCAGTACTATTAACACTACAAACGATTAAAAGTTCTAAATGAATAACTAATAGCTATTATTCATCAATCATCTATTATTTGCAATGAGCTTTGCTGTCCTTTACGTAGTAAGTCTTTAAAGGACCCGGAACGTGATAGTCAAGGGTCTCTCTATGGTTCCCTCAGAGTTAACACTCTACCCCACCATAAAAGTAAACTGAGGTTCAAAAAAAAATCTGCCCTTTCTCCAGATATCAGAGATCTAAATGGTTAAAAGCAGAGACGAGATACTATCCAGAGTCTAAATACCTTCCTCTCTGTACATTGCTATCAAAAGGCTAGAGCTAGGAAAGCAAGAACAGGCACAGGCTAGCCAAGAGTATTATCAAACATTCACAAACATGGAACTTTGCGCCTGGTGATAAATAAATAAAACCTCCTATTTCAAAACTGCAGAGGCGCGGCCAGTGGGGCTCCTTTCCAAACAGCCCGTCGCCTCCTATATGGAAGCACTGTGGAGTTCTAAGGGCTGGACCCAGTTTAAAGAGAGACCATCTCCAGGACGGCTTCCGCGACTGACAACTGCGGAACTACTGCAAAGATTCTCATCTACTCGTGTTAAGGTGTCCATTCTCTTCCCTGGAAAACTGCCCGACAAGGAAAAGTTTAAAAACCGCCCAAATAAACGTCAAGCACCTGGTCACGAAAACCGTGCCTCCCTGTGAGAAAATCCTGCCGCGTCTTAGCTATCACCTACATGCTCCCATGTCAAGGATCATTCAGGTGCTCAGAGGACTATCAGGCTTCTTTCGAAAAACAAATGTGAAACAATTATACAGGGGACTTTTTCTTTTTTTTTTTTTTTAACTCCAGGCTGGGAACGGAAGTCAAGTTCAGATTCTCTTCCTTCCTCCAGCGAGACTGAGAATTAAAAGAACACTCCCCTACGAGAGAGAGACAGAGAGAAAGAGAGACAGAGAGAGACAGAGAGAGAGAGAGAGAGAGAGAGAGAACAGCACACTTCTTGCAGCCAAGCCCTGGCCTCTCCACCTGTGGCAATCAAGTCGGCAGGCCTAGATCTATCGGGAATTAAGGCTTTTTCCTCATCGGGAGCAAAGGCAGCTGGGTCAGGGGTGAGCAGGGAAGTTTGCGATCCGAACACTCTAACTTGGGCACCTTAACTCGCCCGCCCGCCGGCTCGCACTAGCCGGGGACACTCCCGGACTCAGCCTGCGCAGACACCATGGGGAACAGCCACTAACTGGAACTCGGCAGCAGAGCCCCGGGCGCCCCTCCGAACCCCGATCCGGGCGGGGTCCCCAGCCCGGCCCCACGCCGCTCCGCGTGGGGAACCGCGAAGGGACAGCCACGGAGGGGCGGAGGGGCGGGGCAAGCACTTCCTGACTCGCATTGTCCACGCGCCGCCCGCGCCACCCAGGGCCCCGCCGCCGCGCCCGCCCGTCGGGGAGGAAGTTGGCGCTCGCCCCGCCGCTGTCGTCTTACCGTTCTTGGCGTCTCCCGCGCCTGCAGCCCCCGCAGCGCTGGCGGCGTTGGCGGCGCCCGCGCCCGCACCTCCCGGGCCCGCCGCGCCGCCGGTGCCCACCGCGCCCGGTGACACCGCCCCGCAGCCCGCCGCCGCCAGGGCCCCTCCGGCCGCCGCGCCTGTCGCACCCGCCGCCGCCAAGGCCCCGGCTCCATTTTCCTGCTCGTCCCCGCTGCTGTTGGCGCGCTTGTTTTTGCGGCCGCCTTTGCTGTTCTTGGGGTTGGGCATCTCCCTGGCCCGCTCGAGGGGGTCCCTGTGCCCGGCGCCCACGGAGGCTGCTCCCCGCGGCGCTGGGGCGGCTGTGGAGAGCACGGGGCCGGCCGCTCTCCTCAGGCACCCGCCCCGCCGTGCGGCCCGAGCCGCGCCATCCCGGCCGCCGCGCCCTCCCCGGCTTCCTGGAGCTGGCGCGGGCGGCCACGCGCGGCCACCCGAGGCTCGCAGCCGCGCGAGCGCAAGGGGCCCGCGAGCGGAGCGAGACGCTCGGGATCCTGAGGGAAAAGGCGGGTCTCGGGCTTGTTTTGATTCGGCTGCGCTGACACGCTCGGGGCCCGCCCCCGCCCGTGACGACACTGGGGCTCAGGCCCGGCCCCGCCCACCGGGTGATCTCACGGCCGGTCGGCCCGCCCCCGTGACGTCACGACCCGATCACTGCCCGCCGCCCGGTGACGTCATCCAGGCGCCTTGGGGCAGGGGGCGTGGAGGGGAGCTCCCCTGCTCCCCGAGTGTGCCCACGGCCGTGTCTGAGACGTGCGGGATGGAGTGTTGGTGAAGTGGTCGGGTGACCTTGTGACCTTCCTGGAACTCGGGGTGACCACACGGTCTGGGAAAATAAACAGGTGACCAGAAAGGAAAGGAAAACGCCTTTGGGATTCATGAAGCGTTCAGTGGCTCTGCGGTTCAGTAATGATGCGGATGCGGGGAGTTCCCGAGCAGGGCAGTGAGCTCCTGCGTGGGGATTCCTCGGGCGTGTGGTGGGAAGCTCATTTCAGGCAGACCAGAGCCTCGAGTGTTCTGTCAGATGCAGAGCCAGGCTGGAGGAGCCGGGCCGTGCACTGACCGAGTTGTCTTGAGAGAATGGGTCCATTGATGGTCACCACAAAGCAAACGCAATGGGATCTTTGCAGGATATTTGTCTCATCATGTTTTGTCTGGGCTTTTTTTTTTAACCTTACAGGCCCTTTGTGTATATATTACAGCTTCCGGTTTTCTGTTTTTATGGGATTCCTTATATGAGTGTGTCTGTGTGTGTGAGAGAGAGTCTATATGTGTTTCTCGTGCTTTTTTATTGGCTCTTTTTTTTGTTTGTCTTGTCCTGTTTGTTTTCATTTTATCTTATTTTATTATTATCTGGATGCAGGTTTGTTTTCTAACTAGAGAGGGAAAAGGGTGTGGATTTAGCAGGGAGGGAAAGTGGTGGGGATCTTGGAGGAAATTCAAGAGAAGCCATATTAGAGTATATTGTACGAAAAAAATAATCTATTTTCAGTAGAAGAAGAATAGAAAAAGATGTGAGGGCAGAGGGCTCCTGGGAAGAGTGTGATGTGGTCTCTGCTTCTGCAGCTCTGTTGACTGACTCCTGTCCATCCTGCAGGTCACGGGGCAGATGCCTCACTTCTCCCACGTGAGCTCACGGGGTCACCTCAGAAAAGCTGTCCGAGCACTGCAGTTATTTCTCTGGTCCGCATCTGATTGTGTTGGCAATGTGTGTGCTTATTCCTTGACGGTCTGCCTCATATAAAACCGCCGTAGATAGGGGATTTTGTCACAGGTGCCGTAAAAGACAACCGACATAACTTGTTGAATGTATAAATGAGGTTCTTGATCATGACGACAGAGGAAAGACTATTTTAACTGACAGTGTCCTCTTCCTATAGTGTGATCTTTAACTCACTGTTGTCACCGTGGCTGTGTTGAGAAGTCTAGAGAAGCAAATTGAACATGCGGGTCACAACCCCTCTGGGGGGTCAAACAACCCTTTCACAGGAGCTGACTAAGACTGTCAAAAAATACAGATATTTGCATTACAATTCCTTACAGTAGCAAAGTTACAGTTATGAAATAGCAACAAAAATAATTTTATGGTTGGGGGTCACCACAACATGAGGAACAGTATTAAAGGGTCAAAGCGTTAGGAAGGTTGGGACCCACTGTTCTAGAGAGACAGCCAAGGAAGTGCTGAGGGAAGGGCCGTGATTTCCTAGCCAGGGTTCTGGCAGCCTGAGCCATAGCCCTGTATATTTCAGAGAAATTGCTAGTTTGGCTTTTTGTTTTGTTTCGTTTCGTTATTCAAGACAGTTTCTCTGCATAACCCTGGCTGTCCTGAACTCACTATGTAGACCAAGCTGGTCTCTAACTTGGAGATTTGCCTACCCTCTGCCTCCCAAGTGCTGGGATCAAAGACGCCATAACTGCCTGACAACTTTTTTAACTTTTTCAGCAGGAAAATAATGTATAATTTAGTTCTCAATGCACTATATGTTAAAGAAAAATAATCCTTTAGAAGGCCCAAATGATAGCTAAGGTAACAGGTAGGTGGGTAGGTAGATAGATAGGTAGGTGGATAGGTAGATAGATAGATAGATAGATAGATAGATAGATAGATAAAGATGTGTGTGCCAGAGATTGACCTCAGGTGTCCTCCTTTATTCCCTCCACCTTATATTTTGAGACAGGGTCTCCTGTTGAGCCTGGAGCTCACTGATTGGATGGCCAGCCAGTGAGCGCCAGAGATCCACCTGTTTCTGCCTCCCCAGCTCTGGGACTATAAATGTGTGCCTATGTGCCCAGTTTTTACATGGGTCCTGGAGATCGAATTCAGGTTCTCATACTGATACAGCAAGCTCATTGCCAATTTAAATATCTCCCCAGCTGGAGAAGAGGCATTTTGTGCTTCTATTTTTACGTCACACATTCACACATTACACACACACAGGTATAGCCCATAAGTACCAGTAGAGCAGGGCAGAGTGTCTTTCTAACTCTAAGTCTAATATAAAGCCTTCTCCTTAGTTGTGTCCAGTAATGAAATACAAGGACTCTTCTGCCTGTATTTTTTCTGAATATATGCACTCAACTATCTTCTCTGGTCACCCAAACTAGACTTGTCTCCATGGACTCCCTCTATTTTCTTCACCAGAATGGCTCACACATTTGGTACAGAACTGTTTATTCACTTGCCTCCTGTCGGAACCTCGCTATAACGACAGTGGTGGTGTCTGTCTTTCCCTAAGTGCACTCTGTTTACCGGGGTGTATCGTACATGGTTCATGACAAGAAGAAATAAATGACTACAGGACAGATAATTGAGACGCAGAAAGATTTGGTAGCCACTTAGAATTGGGAGTTAAGGAGTGCAGTCGAAACGGCCTAAAAACTGAAGGAAATTATGATGTCATAAAGAGGAGGACAGCAGGAATATAGATAAATACCTCTCTAGCAGTGGTTAAGAGAGTTCACAGCATTTAGTGACATTACTTTGGGCCTGTTTTTGTTTGTTTGTGTGAAGATGAAGTTTTAAGCTAGAGTATAAGAAAACTGGGTAAACTAATTCCTTGACTAAGCTCTCCCCTACCGTGCCATGTTGGTCAGCGTTAGCATGTGCATGCCCCGCAGACAGGCACCCACAGCAGCTGCCTGCCACCTCACCAGAAAGGAGACAGAAGAATTGGATACTTCCCACAGAAACAGAGTTGGCTCATAGCACATAGACACACAGCCAGTTGCAGCTCCGGTTGTGTGAACCACCTTCTCTTCATTCAAACTGCAAGAGAATGAGGAGGAGGAAGGAGAAGCTGGGCAGTTCCATGTTCAACCTTCTTATCTAATTTTAGTCTTAGTCAAATTTGACACAGAGTCTCTAGTTCCGGTTTTATTGCTACAAAGGCAAGACACTAAAATCAAGATGTTGGAAACAAAGTTCAGGTTTTGTTAAATGACCCTGTTTGCTGCATTCCATACTCTGGATTTTCACCAGACTTCTGACATTCCAACCTTTTCCCTTTTTCCTGCCCTGCCTAGGAACGAAGGTTGCACACAGGAGGAGAGAGAATGAGGCAAATCCCTCCCCTTAGAAATCGAAAGCCACTTGGGTTGCTGTGCTGTATACATTGCACTTGACACTGTAATCTCTAACTTCCCGGATCAACTCGTGTGCTCTGAAATATACTTCAAAAAATTGTAACTCCATTCCACTCAGTTTCTTTCCCCTTGAATACCATGAACCCTATCATACAGTTTTCTTGAAATATTTAAAAAAAACAGCAATAAATCAACTCCTTTTAAAAATAAGCAATTTCTACCTTTGAGAAAAAGAATGAACAAATATTTGGGACTAGGCTGGAATAAAAAGTCATTGTTTCCATGTTGTGTTTTGTTGAGCTTTAGTGTCTGTCTTTTAAGCTCTCAGCATTAATTAGCCAGTGTTGGGGTAGGGTCAGACTACAGAAAAGTATGTTAAGAGTATTTATAAATAGAACACAGAATAAAGAAGCTGAGTATTTAAAAAGAAAAGCAGCTTGGTCCAAAAGAGTTTAGAAAGATTCAGAATTCTAGAGATCATGCAGTAGTATACACAAGTCAAGGTGCTACAGTGATCTGCGTAGTCACTTCCAATGAACATGCCTTGAATATTGTGTAAGATCTATGTGACCAGTGCCTTCTGGAGAAAGCCTCTTCCGTGCCTGCAGGTTTTCTTTGAAGGATATTGACTATCGTGTTTTGTTTTTTAATTAAGATTTGTTTGTTGTATTTAGTTGTTAATTTTTTTTAACTCTTCTCTGTTGGCTCTTTTAGAGGCCTGCCCCCTAACTTCTAAATAAATACGCACAGAGAGACTTATTATTACTTTTAAATGCCTGACCTAAGCTTGGCTTATTTCCTGCCAACTTTTTTATTTTTATTGAGATATACATTTTCCCCACTCCCCTTACTTCCTTCCCTCTCCCTTTCCACCCTCTTTCCTTTCCTCCCACACTCCCAATTTACTCAGGAGGTCTTGTCTTTTTTTTCCTTCCTATGTAGATCCATGTATGTCTCTCTTAGGGTCCTCTTTGTTGTCTAGGTTCTCTGGGGTTGTGGACTGTAGGCTAGTTATCCTTCGCTTTATCTAATATCTGCTTATGAGTGAATATGTATTATATTTGTCTTTCTGGGTCTCGGTTACCTCACTCAGTATGGCTTTTTTTCTTTTCTTTTTTTTTCCAGTGGCTGACCATTTTTATTTTTTTTTGTTTCTTTTTTTAATTTATTTATTTATTAAAGATTTCTGTCTCTTCCCCACCACCACCTCCCATTTCCCTCCCCCTCCCCCAATCAAGTCCCCCTTCCTCATCAGCCCAAAGAGCAATCAGGGTTCCCTGCCCTGTGGGAAGTCCAAGGACTGCCCACCTCCGTCCAGGTCTAGTAAGGTGAGCATCCATACTGCCTAGGCTCCCACAAAGCCAGTACGTGCAGTAGGATCAAAAACCCATTGGCATTGTTCTTGAGTTCTCAGTAGTCCTCATTGTCCCCTATGTTCAGCCAGT